GGCAATGCGCCCACACCCTTGCGCGTCATGACTATTATGTACTCTTCTGGCAGACCCTTGAAACCGTCAGAATGGGCTGGCTTTTTACATATGCTTTTTGAACAGTTAAAAGAGGACACCCTCAAAATTTGAGCCTTGTGCGAGCAAGTTATAAAATTTTTTTTTATTACATTTTCACAAATTGAAGGGATGATGACGCAACCGCGGAATGACTGCCAGAATGGTATTTTCTTAATGGGCCGATAATAAAATATCATTAAAAAAATTTCTGGCTTTGTGAAAACAGGTTAGTCAAATAGTTCACTGCGCGCACAACACACGCGCGCACCCAACCACTTGAGACAAGGAGTGTCGCGCGCGCTCGCATGCTAACGCGTCGATCAGCCACGACCAGCTACGATACTGCGCGAACGTGGTACGGCTAGTGTTAGTATTATCGAGGCAAAAGATCGATATTGAATACTTTGAAAAGTATCTAATCAAAATATCGATGCCAAAAAAATATCGTGGCGAAAGTATCGATAGTATTCAATATCGAATTTTGAGTACTTTTCATAAAAATCAAACATAAGTGCAAGAAAGATCTAAATCTCATTAAATATCATATCACAATATTAGAATGAATTCTGTTGCTCGTATCTGATGTGTTAAATCAGAATCATTTTCAATATTGTAAAATTTTAACAGTAATTTTTCAATACTAATTTCAAATTCTATAATTTTTCAAAAAAAAGACAAGTTATAATAGTTGAGTATTTTTGATTAAAACAATATAATAGTCTGATACTAAATTCAAAAACCAATACTTTTTAAGTATTTTTAAGCACAATAATATTTTTAATATTTTTAAGTAAAATAATATTTTATAATTGTTGAATATTTTTATATGAATAATTTTAGCGAGCATGCAACTTTCAAAAACCGTTACATGTTTACATAAAACTACAATATGACTCTTTGGAAAGCAATAAACATTCAGTTTAATGACGGTCAAGATATATTATCTTCGACACTTGTAGAGAAACATCCCTTCGGAGCGATGGTATTTAAAGTTTAAATGGCTCCGAGAAACTCAATCCCATATGTTTGCATGTTGAAATTCAAAAATTTCAAAACATGAGTATTTTGCGTTAAAAAAGAGTCGAAAAATAATTATTTCAAATAAAAATACTCATTCATTTTAGTATATTAGTATTTTGCGTAAAAAAGAATCGAAATGTAATTATTTCAAATAATAATATTCATCAATTTCTATATATTAGTATTTTGCGTAAAAAAGAATCTAAATATAATTATTTCAAATAAAAATACTCATTTATTTTAGTATATTAGTATTTTGCGTAAAAAAGAATCGAAATATGTATAATTATTTCAAATAATAATATTCATGCATTTCTATATATTAGTATTTTGCGTAAAAAAGAATCAACAATTATAATACATTATTTTTCCTGAAAGAGTATAGAATAGAATATATATATATATATATATATATAGTATTATACAATAATTATAAATAATATTGTAAATCGATATAACAATCAATATGAAAGACGCAATACGTTGCTGACTCACAGCTCATAGATTGTATTAGAGATAAGCAACATTGTAAGCATGCACGTGCACCAATCTGTAACCGCAACTAAGCCTAAAGTAAACAAGTATGAATCATTTTAACGTATTTTTCTAGAAGGATGATTGCGTCATCATCAGAGATTATAAAAAGCCTGAAGAGGAGGGAATGTGTGTTCATTCATCACTTACTTGCCAAACAGTTCACATCACTCTTATCTTAAAATATCAATTGTGTATTAAGTGTAACCAAGTAATGAATTAAATAAAAATTAATAAAAGTCTTCAGATGTTTGATTAAATATTCCACAGTGGTAAAGTTTATGATAAGCAGCAGAAGAACCTAAATTTTAATTGTTGACATCGTTGGTGACTCAACATAATTGTTGGCAAAGGATCCACAACATATTTGTTGACAGCCCAGGGGTGCACAACAATATATATATAGGTATATAGGTATATATGCATTAGTATAAATAAAAGTACTTGTTTATTTCATAATTATTATTATAATTAACATATTAATAAAAATAATCATAAGAAATGAATATAATATATTTACAAAATAATTAAAAAATACAAATTAAATAATTATTGAACATATAAAACGAAAAAAAATGATTAATAACACTTTTATATAATTTCTATATATTTATTATATATTTATTCATATAATGAAAATAGCATTTAATGAAACCATTCCTCTTCCGGTCGTCCTGCTAAAAATAACAGCATATTTAAATTTTCTGGTTTTAATCGGTTTCGCCTTTCTGTCATTATAGTACCAGCTTCGGAAAATAATTTTCGGCTGGTACAGACGTAGCAATAATGGTGGCGTATTCTCTAAATTTATTATACAAATCGGGGAAAATTTCCTTCATGTCCTCCCAAGATTCTATTGGGTTGCTTGTTAAAGGCGTGACTGGATTATTTAGATATAAATCTATTTCATCACGCCTTTTATTTCCTTTTTTTTCTCTGATGCTATTTTTTTGTGTAACTGCCAAAAGTCGAAACTGTCTGGCGTGACATCAATATCTAAACTTGTTGTAGAGTTGTCCAAACAAATTTGATTTCTCAGCGCATTCATTGCATTTGAGGCAGCATTGGCGTTTTTAAAATGTAAATTCTTAAAGCGAGGATCTAACAGTGTGGCTATAGCCATTGGTAAATTTTCTTCCAAATTCAAAAACCGCTTGCTTGCAGTGTCAATTAAAGCTTGTTTTAATTTGACACAAAGGCGCGATTTTGGTTGTATCGCGCGCAGTTGTGCAAGAAGGCAATTAACTAGAGGTATAACCTTCGACACCGTAATATAGTATTCACCGGATAATTCTCTAGTTATATACTCCAGCGGCTGCAGTAAATTAGATAATTCTCTAATTGTTTCAACTTCAGCCGCTGATACAATGACGGGAGCATTCGCATCACTAATTGTAATTTGTGCGACATATGGAGCTAATTTTAAAAATCTTTCTAGCATATAGTAACACGAATTCCACCTTGTTTTCACATCTAAAATGAGCTTCAAAGGCTCATGTGAACTTTCACATTGAGCCTTTTTCAGCTTATCTGACGCTACCACACTTTTTTTAAAATACTTAACTAAGTTTCTTACTTTTTTAACAAAATTTATGACTTCAGGATCAGCAAGTGCCTTATCTGCAATTAAATTAATGCTATGAGCGAAACAAGTTTGGTGCCTTTCAGTTAATCCATATTCATTAAAAAAATTACGCACAGCACATATCATATTACTGCCGTGATCGGTGATAATAGCTGTTATTTTATTTATATCCAGGCCCCATTCCTGTATTACATATTTTAGTTTATCCTGTATATATTCTGCCGTATGCCTCTCCGATAAATTTATTGTTTCTAAATTAGACGACGCTAAAAATTTATTATTTAAATAATGAATAGTTATTCCAAGGTAACTCGTCATATTTAAAGTGTCGGTCCATATGTCGCACGTTAAACTATAAAAAGGTTTATCCTTAAGGTCGATGACTAATGAATTTTTTAACGAATGGTATTTATCATTCATAAGTTTTTTAAAATGTGTATCAGAAGGTATTTTGTAATTGTTTTCCATCGTTTTAATTAATTTAATAAATCCTTTTCCATTTACCGTATGAAAGGATTTGTGGTCTACACAAATGTAATGCAGGATTGCATTCGTTATAATATTATGTTTATCGCCACCGTGTTGAACCGAAGTGCGCGCTTCAAAAGCACGCAAAATTGGATTAACCAGGTTTTCCTCCGGCACATCGACGTATTTCTGCCTTTTTGCCGGTACTTCATTTCTAAAACAATATTTTTACATTAGCAATAAAAAATTTTTTCATGAAAAAGAATTTATAGTTGTTAACTTATCACATCCAAACTAACTTTTTTAATAAAATAAACTTAAAATATAGCCTCTACGATTATTTTTTAAAATCCAAAATAAATACTGCGTTTCTGATACAAATAAACTTGAATATAAAATAATTACCTGCAAAAATCGGTCATTGTTGAAGTACTAGGAGAGGGTTCGCTATTCTTATATGAAACATTTGGATGGCGACTTCTTAAGTGTTTCATTAAGTTTGTAGTATTACCACATGTTTTCAATGTTTTAATACACAACTTGCACTTTGCTTCATTCTTGTTCTTCTTTTCAAAAAACTTCCACATAGCACTACTACTCATTTTTATTTATTTTTATTTAGACACAAATAAAAAATTTAAAGATTTAAATGAAGTTATTTTAAATTGTTAAAAATAATTCAACAACTTGCAATAACAACTGTAAAAAACGACCAAACTATGAAAATTCTCTAAACGGCAAACACATAAAGTTAACTACTTGACTGATGAACTAAGAATGATTTGTCTCGAAAATATTTTCAAATATTTTTCAGTGCAAACAATTGCCACAAGAACCAAATTAATTTATTATTTTTTAAAAGTTTTTTGCCCACCATACTAAAGAAAGTATTCTTTAGTTTTGTTGTCATTCATTCAGAAAGGGTCAGTTGAAATCCGATTCCTAAAATATGTTCGTAATGTGCACAAACTGAAGACGAGAATTTTAAGATTCACGTACCACAAAGAAAATATTGCTCTTCTGTTCTTTTTTAAATTGTTTATTTAATTTTTAATTTTCAAGTACTTTACTCCAACTTACAATTCACATACTTTTAGAAAGAAAAATAATAAAGCATTGAAATCGATGAGTATTATTACTGAAATAATTATATTTCGATTCTTTTTTACGCAAAATACTAATATATAGAAATTCATGAATATTATTATTTGAAATAATTATATTTCGATTCTTTTTTACGCAAAATGCTAATATATAGAAATTCATGAATAATATTATTTGAAATAATTATATTTTGATTCTTTTTTACGCAAAATACTAATATATTGAAATTGATGAATATTATTATTTGAAATAATCATACTTCGATTGTTGAATATGTTTTTATAAAACATTTTGGTATTTTAAAAAGTCGTTTCATTTTACATAAGGGTAATAAATAAACATCTTTATTTATTAGTGTGGTCATATTCATTTTGGGTTTTTGAGCAATAAATTCTGAGACTAATGACACCCTTCGGGATCATTTTTTGACATTTCTTTGAACAGTTATGACCACCTATAGAGACTATTGCATTGTACTTCGCAAAATGAGTGGTTTTCATAGTGGTGTTCATAGATTACGCTGTCGATTCTTTTTGAGTACTATCGACGAAAAAGATCGATATTGGCAAATAGATCGAGCGAAAAATCGATACCAAAAGTACTCACTATCGACCGCAAAGTATCGATATTTACTCAGTACTCGATATTTTGTTCTAACACTAGGTACAGCCTGAGTCACACACACACACACAAGCAGCACGCAACAATGCTGCCAATTTTCAATTGGAGTATATATAAAGTCGAAAATGTATTGTTAATGAATAATAAGAAACTCTACACAGTTTATGTAGCTACTCTTCATTAGAAAGTTCTAAGAAAATAATGAGAAAAAAAGAATAATAAGAAATTCTATACAGTTTATTTAGCTACTCTTCATTACAAAATTCTAAAAAAATGTAATTATTGAATCTATTCTACCTATTTAATCTATTTTATGTATTATTATTTTATGTAAAATTTATTAATGTTTTGATGATGGAAGACGCTAAATCAAATTTTTCTTTGGTGAGGTCACTGGCATTCTAGTTCTGGTGAGACTGGCCTCGACCACGACCACCGCGGCGGCCTCTGCTGCCTCTGTTGCCTCTGCTGCCTCTGTTGCCTCTGTTGCCTCTGTTGCTGCTACTGCCTCCAGAAGGGAGGAAATTGCTCCGCGGTGGCTTCCTGCCGCGCTGAGTTCTTCTGCCTCGTCCACCGCGTACTGAGCCTTTCCAATTTACGGCATCGTACCGGGACTAAAGTAATAATATTATAACAACTTATAGCTAAGTATATTTACGAATGTATTTAATATTATATAAATGCTGCATTACCTTGTCAAGATAAATTCGAAGGCTAACGCCCTCAGTATTTATCATTATTTTATTGAATAGGTCAATAAATATATTTGTGTGGTATGGCATTTCAAACGGCAGCAAAGCCACCGTCTTCCACTCTGCTCTGATTGCTGCCTGAATTTTGTTCAACACTTCTCCAACTATCTGGAGCTCGCAATCTGCCATAAGAAAAATCATAATGAAAAATTGCTTAAATTTGTATATAAGTTCCTTATATATACTTATATATAAGATGTAGATTTTTTAGTTCGTATACAGCACGCACATAATGCCACTGCATGTCCCAAGTAGATTGTGGTCCAGGCGACGTCCCCGACACCGTCCGGCCTCGGATTTTCAGTATTAAATCTATCACATCAAAAAATAGAAATATGTACAAGTCTTGAAGAATAAAGAATTGGATTTAAATTACTTACATTGTTATTTTTCCATTTTTGATTTTTTGTGACTACCCGTGACTAAAATCAGTACGTACTCCACGGATATCGTTTGCAACGTGGAGAATTTTAACACCTTTGCAACATCTTTAGTTAAGACTACAGAAAATGAGATTATATAGATATTATAGAGATATTATATATATATATATTAGTGATGTGCCAAGTCGAATCAAGTGATTCGAATCATTCGAATCAAGCCTTTAACGACTTGATTCGAATCAGATTTTACTTGATTCGAATCAACTCGTATCAAGCCGCGAAATATTTACTGTGATAAAATATGTATTAACACAAATTTTTTATAAATATAAAATTTTTCATAAATATAAATATAAAAAAAAATGTTTTAATTTAATTCAATATTATAATAATATAAAAAATAAATATCATAAATATAAAAAATAAATAATGAATTAAATCATGCGAGCCACCCGACTTTAATATGCTTAAATGTATCGGCCGACTCCAATCGTCTTTATATGACCATAATCGCATTCATCGACTAACTATATCATTCGACTTCATACGGCTCAAACCGAATCAGCGGCGATATGAGTTATTCCGACTTCATGAGTCAAACCGAATCAAGCGGCGATATGAGTTGTTCCGACTTCATATGAGCCAACTCGAATCAAGCGGCGATATGAGTTGTTCCGACTTCATCACACAAACCGAATCAAGCAGCGATATGAGTTGTTCCGACTTCATGAGCCAAACCGAATCAAGCGGCGTTATGAGTTATTCCGAATTCTGATTCGAATCATCCCGACTTCAAGCCGTTCGAGCGATATGAGTTAACCGTATGGGCGATACAATGCGTCGTCATTCTTGCGTGTTTATTTATTTTACGGAGAGCTGAGAGCGATTTTGTTCGTGAAATATCAATACTCAATTTTAACGTAAGTGTTTTAGATCTTAAATGTTATCAGAATAAACCACTCGAAATTATGAAACGAGTTTTGGGAATCTTTCAATATAATTCTCTTTTGAAACAATTACTAAACACCAGAAAGTCAGTAAATAATATGTTAACTTCTAAGTAATGGCAAATTCACATTAATTAACTTTCAGCTCTCTGTTTAGATGCGATCCTTTACTGATTACATAGTAAAATAAACAATCGACCCATGATTCCAAATATTATTTTATATACTTTAGTGATGCACAATTGTTTGGTAATCTATTATGGTAAATTAATTTGAAGATATGTTTCAGCCGTCTTCAAAATTATATCATTTTTATTAATTTTCAAAATATACTTTTTGATAGTAATTTATGATTACAATTTCTACTTTGTCGGTTATATTGGTTAAACTAACAATTTTGATTATAAATTTGGATCGCTTTTACTAAATTAATACATCCATGATTTTTTTTGTCCATATATATACTTGATTCGAGTTGATTCGAATCATGATTCGAATCAGGTTTTTTTCTGATTCGAATCATTCGAATCGGGAATTTTTCGAGTCGGCACATCACTAATATATATATATATATATATATATATATATATATATATTAAATTATACTTGAATTAAAAAGTAAACAAAATATAAGTCCAAATAATTTAATTTATTATCACAATTACCTCAAGAATAAGGATTTGGATTTTTATTATGTCCACCTTGCCTTCTTATTTTGCCAAAAAAGTCTTCCAGGGTGTTCTGATTAAAATTTTGCATACGCAAGTGATTAAATCAATTAATTGAATTTGAATTTTTCCCAAATATGTTCCAAATCATCTATGATTCTAATTTAATTTTCAATTGTAGAAGTTTTCATAATGATTGTAATGTAATCTGTTTTAATAAAATGCATTGAGAATAACACTTGCATTGCAGTTTGACACAGAATTATGATTAATGGCATAACGAAATATATTGTCATTTGTTGGAAAATGAGCTAAATAATTGACATTATCAAAAAGACAATTCATGAACTCCAAAAGTTTATCAGTACCTTCTGAAGTAGTGCTCACATTTGTTTCATGAGAATGTACTGAAATGATATGGGTTGTTGTTGTGGGGTTGATTGGATTGGGTTGGGTTCCAAATGTAGATTGATCCACTCTCCAAGGGGTGCTAGATCAGTCCAACCTTGTTCTGGTGTCGTGGGCAGAGCTTAGAGTTTATAATAGGAAATAACAACACTGGTATGAGTCTCCTCAGAACCGTGAGCACTTTATATTGGTATAGGCTGAAAGATGTCTTTACGCAAAGTAGAATACAAACACTGAATCTAAATTCGACTATAACTTTATTTAATCTTTAATAACTTCACATCACAAACTAGCATAGATTCGTGCTAAGACATACTCTAACTTACAATATGAAATCTTACTCTATTTATTACTAAGAGTACGTGAGAATATCCCGGAAGTGGCGCGTTGTGGAAAACTTCTCTGCCCTTGCAATGCTCTTGGACTTTGACTGTATAGCATAGAGCACGTATTATTCATGTTATTACATAACACGCCACCCCTAAAGGATATTCTTGGTCCTCCAAGAATAAAAAAAATAAAAAAAAATTAAAAATTACAAAATTTTTGATGTTCTTCCCCTCTAAAAAAAAAATTTATCGTCCTCGATAAATACTAAAAAAAAATATCATAATACAGTAGCAAAATATGATAATAATGACATATTTTTGATTTTTCTATTAATATATCAAACTTAACAAAATAATATTGATAAAACAGTTTGCCATTGTCTTCTTACT